AAGAAACAAACAGCAATAATACAAAGACAAGAAGATGATAAGAGGATCCATAATTTAAGGATTAAGAACATAAAAGAAGAAGTAGGGACACAAACAAGTAAACTACAAAAGCTACTCACAGAAATAATCCAGGAGAATTTTCCTAATTTAGCAAAAGGTAAAGATACTCAGATGTATGAGGCATACAGGACCCCAGCTACCTACAACTCAAACAGGGCAACACCCAGACATATAATAATCAAAATTCCAGAAATTCAATACAAGAACAGAATATTAAAAGCTGTCAGAGACAAGAAACAGACCACTTACAAGGGAACACCCATCAGAATTACAGCAGATTTCTCTGCACAAACCATCAAATCACAAAGAGCATGGGGGGAAATAATTCAAGCTTTGAAAGATAATAATCTCCAGCCAAGATTGAGATATCCTGCACAACTGTCCCTGGAAATTGATGGAAAAACAAGGTGCTTCCAGGATAAAGAGGAACTGGGGGAAATTGCAACCACCAATTCAACTCTACAGAAAGTATTGCAGGATATTCTAAAAAAAGAAAAATACAAAGAACCCAGAAATAGTGGCGGGGAGGCCACAATGAATGGAGCAGAGAACAAAATGAAGAAGACAAACTGACAGCTACTGACAGAAAAAGAGCTCAACAGAAATGAGACAGAGAAGATTGGATGATAGGAACAGCTATTTTGGAGAAAATGACATCTTAATAGGTAATGCTGATTTAGTATCATCTTGTTTTGAAGTCTCATCTAGCTTTTGTTCTTCTGTCTCCAATGGTCTAAATAGGCTGTATCTTATTGGATTTTATTATGTATGATAGTATAAGCAAAAACCTTTTAAAGACAAAGAGATTATACAGAAACCATTGTTCATTTTCTGTTAGTCGATTCTAAATACTCTGTAATGCTGTCATTCTCTTAAATGGTTTTACATTGTTTTGATATACTTAATGCTACAGTATACGAAGTTGTACTCAAGGACTTCAAGGAAAGAGTCAATATGGTAACTACTTTTGGGTCGGAATTATCTGGTGGTGAAACACTATTCTGCTTAAATGGTTATGTTTTGATCTGCGCTGTTTCGCTGTTATGCCCTCTTTTATCCCAATCTCCACTCCATTATTTACTTTTTAATTTTTATCCGTTTAATTAAAGGGAAAAAAAATAGCAGGATATATTATAGTAACCCACTTTGCCTTTCTATTATCTCAATTTGAAGCCCTGTATTACTCTCACCATCTTGTTTTTGACTGATGTTCCCCTATTCTGTTTTGCTGGATGGTATCAGGTTCGAAAGTTTAGGCATCAGCTGTGAAGATAATGAGATTCATTATAACGCCCATTCTCGTTGACTTTAATCTACTTTTGAAGACCTACAATGTCTCCAATGTTTTGGTTTTGTCGGTTTTTTTCTTTACTGTTTTGTTCAATTGTATTATAACTAATGATATAGGCAATTCTATTAGAGATAGCGGGAGGCATTATGGTAACCACTGTTGATCACCTTGTATTATGTTTTTACATTATCTATTATGTCCACCCTTTTGACTTGACCGATTCTGTTCTGTTATGTCACATTTGGTTTTACTCTCTTCCAAAAAAGCAATAAGAACCGTGGGAGCAATGAAACCCAAAATGTGTAATAGTCATTGTACAAAAGAGAGGAAAAGAAAGTGCTCTAAACTATATAACTGCATGCATATTTAAGTGTATAAGATAGAAAATGATATCACAGAGTTTTATTGGATCATTGAACAGAACTGTTTGCAGTATCATTGTTGGAATGTCCACTCTACAAGCTTTAATTTTGTGACTTGAACAATTATTTCTAAGATGGCAATATGTAATCCATTAACTAGTGATTTCCTACTGTTCATTTTTTTTCTGTAAATCTGTATAACTTGTACCCTTTCACTGTTTTTTTTTTCTCTTTTCTCCTTAAATAAAATTTTAAAAAAAATGAAAAAAAAAAGAGATATCTTGCACAACTATCCCTGGAAATTGATGGAAAAACAAGGTGCTTTCAGGATAAAGAGGAACTAGGGGAATATGCAACCACCAATTCAACTCTACAGAGAATACTGCAGGATATTCTAAAAAAGAAAAATATGAAGAATCCAGAAATAGTGGCAGAGAGGCCACAATGAATGGAGCAGAAAACATAATGAAGACGACAAACTGACACCTAATGACAGAAAAAGAACTCAAGAGAAATGAGGCAGAGAAGATTGGATGATAGGAACAGCTATTTTGGAGAAAACGACATCATAATACGTAGTGCTGATTTGGTATCATCTTGTTTTGAAGTCCCATCAAGCTTTTGTTCTTCTGTCTCCATTGGTCTTAACATGTTTTATCTTATTGGATTTTATTATATGTGATAGTATAAACAAAAACTTTTATAGACAAGGAGATTATACAGAAACCATAGTTCATTATCTGTTAGTGGATTCTAAATACCCTGTAATACTGTCATTCTCTTGAATGGTTTTACATTGTTTTGATATATTTGATGCTATAGTATATGAAGTTATACTCAAAGATTTCAAGGAAAGAGACAATATGGTATTACTTTTATGTCAGGATTATCTTGTGGTGAAACACTATTTTGCTTAAATAGTTACATTTTGATCTGCCCTGTTTTGTTGTTATGCCCTCTTTTATCTCAATCTCCATTTTATTATTTACTTTTTTATTTTTATCCTTTTAATTAAGGGAAAAATAAATAAAAAATAGGAGGATATGTTATAGTAACCCACTTTGATTTTCTATTAACTTGATTTGAAGCCCTGTATTGTTCTCACCATCTTGTTTTGACTGATGTTCCTCTATATTGTTTGGCTTGATAGTACCAGGTTTGAAAGTTTAGGCAACAGCTGTGAAGATAGTGGGATTCATTATGATGCCCATTCTGGTTGACTATTATCTACTTTTGAAGACCTGTAATGTCTCCAATGTTTTGGTTTTGTTGGTTTCATTCTTTACTCTTTTGTTCAATTTTATTATAACTGATGATATAGGCAATTCTATTAGAGATAGCGGGAGGCATTATGGTAACCATTGTTGATCACCTTGTATTATGTTTTTACATTATCTATTATGTCCACCCTTTTGATTTAACTGACTCTGTTCTGTTAAGTCACGTTTGGTTTTACTGTCTTCCAAAAAAAGTAATAAGAACTTTGGGAGCAATAAAACCCAAAATGTGTAATAGTCATTGTACAAAAGAGAGGAAAAGAAAGTGCTCTAAATGATATAACTGCATGTATATTTAAGTGTATAAGATAGACAATGATATTACTGAGTTTTGTTGGATCACTGAACAGAACTGTTTGCAGTCTCACTGTTTGAATGTCCACTTTATATGCTTTAATTTTGTAACTTGAACAAATATTTCTAAGATGACAATATGTAATACATTAACTAGTGATTCCTACTGTTTATTTTTTTCTGAAATTCTGTATAATTCGTACCCTTTTTCTGCTTTTTTCCCCTTTTCTCCTTAAATAAAATTAAAAAAAAGAAGAAGAAAAAAAGAAAGCAGGGCTTCTTGAAGAAATCGTTATTCCAGGTCTGGGCAGAAAATGTTCAAAACGAGCCTGCATCACAGAGTCACAGTAGCAGAAGGAAAGGAGCCACCGAAGTTTACTGTGGAGATGTCCAAAGGCTTTAGGAACCCACTAAAGGGCCCCACGTTAGTAAAGAATGACAACGTGAGCGTTAATAATAACTGTGATATATTAAAACACTTAAAACTATTTAAATTCATGAATTAATCATGATTTTAAAAAGAACAACTTGCATGATCACCTAGAGAGGAGGATAAGGACATAATTTAGTATTTTGAAAGCTAGAGAATAGAAGTTAAAATAAGCAGTTATTTTCGATTTTCTATATAAATGTGCCACTTTATAACCAAATACATGATAAGAAATTTTTAACTATAGAAATATTTCAGTAAGAAACAAGAAATAAGAGAACCAGAATATCACTATTTAGCAACTACTAGACATTAATGGTTGTCAAATTTTTTTTTTTTTAAAAAGAATGAAAAAAAATTCCATGTACCTCAGGAATAGCAAACTATGATGCAGTCTCACCAGAAAAAAATCAAACCTAAATTTGACCAATTCTTCAGTCAACTACCACATGGCAGGAAATATAGAAAAGAGGAATATGACATGTGTATCATCAGCAGAATCTAGACAATAGAAAACTCAACACAGACTAAAATAATACCAACACACTTTGAAATGACTATCAATTCAGTTTCTTCAACAAATAAACTGTGTAGTCAGGAGTTTTAGTTTCTTTGCTTTTTCTTCAGTTATGTGTATTTATCACTTGATAAACATTTGTCATTTAAAAAAGTATCTGCTGACATCAGACTAAACTATGGACTCTGTGATGGCAAAGGACAAGGTTTTCATGTATAGATCCTCAGGGCCTGGTATGCTAACAGGCATTTTATAGGTATTTAATACACATTAGCTAAATAAATAAGTCAGCAAATTAATAAAATGATCAGCCTTGGTGATATGAGAAGGAGAAAAATAGTAGGAGTCAGCAAAAGAGAGAAAAGGTAATTTTTTTTACAAATTTTTTTTGGACTTTGACAACATTAAGCTAATGTAGTCTTACTCCTATTGCTACCTACAGAAAATTTTTGTTTTGCTGATTAACCTTAAGTTTCTAACTTCCTTTAAGACATATTCATAAAGAGAAATAACAAATAATTATGTGTCTGTATCAATATTACTTTTTAAACTCAAGCATACATATAAATCCTCAAATCCATCCCCATCAAATTGGGCTCCAAGACACATGTTATGTACAGAACAGTTCACATAGAACACATGAGAAACACACCGGAGCTTACATTCCCTCTCCCATTCAAAGCTTTCAGAAAAGCCTGAAGAGTTAGAGGAATAGTTAAATGAGTATCATAAAAAGCCAATAAATTCTGCAGAAATAGCACCAACTTACCCAGAACAACTCTAAAGTCCTCACCATCCAAGTTCATTACCCACGTATTGGTAGTTTTTGATCTATTTTCCATATACTTCTTGAGGCTTTTCCCATTAATTTCCAGAGTATATTCATAAGCAAAACCACTGACAGCATCTATATTTATGGTTGCTTTTGTCTTTGCAGCTCCAACATAGAAGGTTTCTTTGCCCACTAGTTTGAACATCCATTCTTTTCTTATCTCTTCCTATGTAGTAAAATATACAAGTTTAAAACATGAAAATGGAAGAAATATTAATATTTAATATTAGTAATGATATAAAATGTCCAAGTGACCAAATAGCGAGGTGATTTATATTTTCATTAATTCATAATGCCAATGTTTAAGAAAATAAAGCCACTTCAAGTTTATATTTGTGAACTCTATTACATTTTTAGTTTGCTTTATACAAGTGATTCAAGCTAAAAACATAAAGATATTCACTGTTAGAAAAAACCTGATTTCACATATGTAGTTGAAGAAACTACATTAACAAAATCAAGCTTCTCCTTAACCATCTTTTATAAAGGGACATCTTTTCTTACCTTTCCATCTACATATACTACTCGTTTGCCCGATGTGGTCCCATGTTCAAATTCAATCTTGTGGACTCCATCACTCAAAGCAACATCCCAAACAGCTACGAAATCAGTCATTTTTTCCAGGCTGTAAGGAGGACTAAAGAAATAAAATAAAGCTATTATAACAGACCCCAGACAGCAGCATAATAACCAATTAATCCTCCTAAGATGAGAATATCAGATTTTTAAAGGCTCTAAAATTACAAAGTATGAAGGCGACATTCCTGAGAAATCCTACTCACGGCACATGTAACTATTTTCTCTCTCTTACTCACTTTTCCCTTAAGAAAGAACTACTATGTTTGGGTATACAGTTTGATAATTCCAAACAGTGACCTTAATACTAATAGGATTAAGAATGTATCAGTTTATCCTGGATAGTATTCTAAGTTAGGCTACTGTTTCTTACATGAAAAGGTTAGTAAAGATTCTGTCCCTTACCTAATCAGCATTTAAAAAGCATAGCATTAAATGCTTTTTCTTCTAGATCTGATGACAAGCAAGAACTATCCAAACTTTACACATAATGACTAGGGATTTGTTTTCAACAAAAAAGGGTCCTAATTTATCGTACTAAAACAAAACAAAGAAGCAGCTAAGGAAAATAATCCTGTAATAAAGATTAAAATGATACAAAAATATTTTGAAAGCAGTTAATTTTTTAATTATTCTAGTAAAACTAATTTAAAAAGGATTCTAGCTTTTCAAAAATTACTGGCATAAAAAAAAATTACTGGCATAATTTAAACTTTTTTATATCAATATTTTATTTTTGGGGGTGTACTGGGGATTAAACTCATGACCTCTCACTTGCCAGGCAGACACTTATGCCACGGAGCTAAATCCCTGGCCCTATACCAATATTTTACTATAAAATACATAATGTGTCAATGTAGTTATTAATATAGAGTATAAATGATATTCTATATTCTACATAATAAAATATAATTGATACTCTGATATGGATATAGATTACTAGCTTTGAGGAAAGTAAGCAGTAATGACGATCATGGCTAGGAGCAGCTGTTAATGTGCTTTCTGTGTATCAGGTCTAGTTTGAGCTTTATATTATTGATTTATAGAAGTTGCCAGGAGCTATTAAAATACTGACTGTACAGTTGAGGCTCAGAAAGGGTAAGTGTTTATCTAAGGTCACAATGACATTCAATGGCAAAGATACGATTGAAACCTAGGACTTGCTCCATAGCCTGTTTTCTTGATAGCTGCCTCTCTTGTTCAGTTTTTTTTTTCGTTTTCTTTTCTTGAGACAGAATCACACTGTATATTGAGACTGGTCTTAAACTCACTATCTGCACCAGGCTGACCTCGTGCTCACAGTGATTCTCCTGCCTCAGACTCTGGACTGTTGGAATTACATGCAAGTACCACAACATGAGGTGCTTCATTTTTCTGTTTTGTTTTTGAGACAAGGTCTCATTATGTAATTTATGCTGTCCTGCACTTTGTAGCCCAGGCTAGTGCCAAACGAATGGCAATCCTCCTGCATGCTAGGATTACAGGCATGCACCAGCACACCTGGCTCCACCTATTCATTCATAACTTCTCCCTTACATGCTTTAAACCAGAGAAAGTAATTTCATTTTGGAGTGATTGCCAAGAATGCTTTGTTGAGAAGGACTTCACATCCAGGATCTATGGAAAGGATGGTATGGTCATGGTGGCCATGTCCATGCAGGTATTTGCTACCTCTGCTTTACATTATAAAGCAGAACCATGCATTCTTCAATAGTACAAAGCATTTCCTTAACAGAATAGCTCGGATAAACAAAGGTTCTGAATGAGCACCACAACTGACAATTTCGAAGCCTGGTTTTATTGCAATGCAAGACATTTACCTTTCATCATCTTCAAAGATAGGACTGTCATCTCCAGATGCCATGGTTGGCAAAACAGTCTTTAGTCCAATTAGCAGCCAGGAAAGAAAAAAGCAGAATTGCAGCAAAGCAAGATTGAAAGCAATAATAAATGATATCTACAAAGCATTTTTCTAACTTTGCCAGGCATTTCTTAAATTGCAAGCAGTTTCTGATGAAACATCTTTAATTTTCAGGTAGGAAGACAGATCATACAAATCATATTTTCTCCTGTTAGGGATTTAGAATTTCTTAAAAGTATAATTTTTAAAAAGTAACGAGTAAACTCTAGTTTATTTCAAGTACCTACAACGCGTCAGAGCTGCAAGAGCCCAATCCTTTGTGTCCCACTCTTCCTAAATTGAAGCTCTAGAGGTCCCAAGTATTTGAAAGAGTAGAAATACATAAAACTCTTAAATATGATGTTTCTTCTAGCAGCAGCAAGGTTACAAGGTAGCAATTACTGTCATGCAATCTTCACAGTACATTTTACACTTTAAAAAATTATCTGAAATACACGGTGAACTTACAGGAAGTAGCCATGGGTATACTGATTTACTTTTTAAAAGTAAAACTTACTTAAGCCCATTTAATGTACTAGTGGTAATAATGAATTCACAAAAGTTATGGGACTCATTTGGTAACTAGTACGGTCTAAGCTAGAGCTAGAACCTAATACTGTGCAGTGAAGTAAATAAGTAATTGGGCGACAGCACTAACTTTTACTAAAATCTGGTGCACACATATACTCACATGAATGAACTCCACATTATAAGATTTGGTGTTAACAGGCCCCTGCCAATCATAAATTCAATCATTTTTATTCTCAAGATCTACTCCAGTTTTAGTCTTCTCCTTAATATCTTTTCTCTGTTGATGCCTTAAGTGTACTATCTTCTTGCTAAAAATGAGATTCCCAATTTCTTTGGCTGGAAAAATCCAAATGTCACAAATTTGTTAAAATAATGTTAATTTGGAAGGAATAAGCACTCATAAAAACACTCCAATGAGCAACAAGCAAAAAAAAAAAAAAAACCTTGCTAAGAATTTTAGAATGAAACTTGGTAAAAAATCTGTACCTAGCAACCCAGACTGTTCCAGGCAGGGACCTCAAGCAACCCAGCAGGGCACCTGTGGTAGTAGCAGCAGTGGTAGACACATGCCGCCAGACTGCCCCAAGCAGGGACCCCTCCCCTCGACTTGGGCATGGACACACACACCAGCAGTTGGATGAACCATTATTGTGCTTTGGCATATGGACAGGCAGAACAGAAGGGGATAAGTGGGACTGCCATTCTTTCCTTTTATATATAATATGTCTCAAAGGGCTGGGGAGAACCCCAGCAACAGAATGCTACCTGCAGGCCCTGCATCCAGACGCCATGATTAGCCCTATACCCAGCACCAATCCCACTGCAAAATGGGCTGGAGTATACAACACATTTCTGAGATCACACTTGGACCTACCACAGAATGATGGTAGTTTTCCTCGTTATGTTGAAGTTAATATAAAAAGTAAGTAGAGGGCTGTGATTTGTATGTTTAATCTAGTAAGAATGACTGTGAAGTTGCATCAAGAAAAAGTTGATATAATGATAACTCTGATTAGGTTAACTGCTGGAGGAACTGCAAGATTAGTTAAGACTTGATAGGATTCGTCATACTATTATTTTACTTTTTTAATTTTTCTATGTTTGTTTGACCAGTTTTCCTTTTTTTGTCTAGTTGGTCTTTTAGTTTAATTTGGTCTTATTTTATTTTGGGGGGTTATTTATGTTTTTAGTCTCTTTTTCCCCTCTCTCTTCAATGACTTAGATTTATTACCCTCTTTTATGATTTCATTTACTTTTCTTCTAATTCTCTTTTGCCAATTATATACTTCCATGTAAATAAACATCTCTTCTATGCCAGTTCACTATGCCCTGCTTCCTCTTCCATTCTTTCCCTCTTCTGTCCTCCAGTTTCCCAAAACTTGGGTGGTCATCCTATGCCCCCAAGTCTCGCTCCTACTACATAGGACCTCAGTCATCTCTCCGTTGTACCCTGTCCCTATTAATCCCCACCCTCACAACAAGGTAAAATCATTCCACTGAAGGGAAAAACATTGTACACAGATTCCTGGTATATGATGGATTCTGTTAGACAACTGTAGAATTTGCTCCTATGGTTAAAAGTATCAGGCTAATAGTTACCACAGTTTATTAGTAGCCAGGCTGCACTGGAGACTATTGTTATTGTTAACGATACTACTTTATTCAGGATACCATCCCTGCTATACTCAGTTTTTCTCTCCTGTATGACAACACTGTGATTATGGGAACACTGTAATCCAGTACTAAAGGAATGAGAGCTGAGTCAAATAGGTAGCAACTTTTCATCCTTAACACATTGGGAAGGGTGGGCTTGAACGCCTCACTAGATAGCCCCGCTCCTTAAAACTCATAATTCTCCTGCTTCAGCAGGAGTTTACAGGTGTGCACCACTAAACTTGAGTCTGGGATTTTACCTATCTAACTTTCTAAGGCTGTGAGGGTTCCAACAATACACTGTGAGTAAAGAGAAATTCCCACATGATGCCATTTTAAAGCATACTCTCCATCAACAAATCTCATGTAATGTTTAAGAAAACTGTTCACAATCAAGTCTGTAAAAGCTCTGCTTTGGTGCTTCTAATTCCACGAGGTTCACTGGTCTTGTTATCTTACATGTTTCATTTCAATCTCTGCACTTTAAAATTTAATTGGAATTGCTCTTTTGGTTCACAACTAGGGGAGCATATGTGGAATATACTTTCAATAGCTATAAGTGTAATTTGTTAACAGATTGATGTATGTTTTGGCAATTTATGTCAGGGAAAACAAAAATCACTCATCAATTCACTTAGATGTTATTAGCAATCTGACAAATGTTCCTGAAGAATTTATTTCAATTAGTGTTCAGTCCAAAATAGAATGGAGCTGGTAGAAGAATAGATATAGAACAACAGGATAGAACTACAAATTTAGAAATGAATGTGTATGTCTGTGGCCAGTTGAACTTGACAAAGGTGCCAACTCTTATCGGTGGAACAAGAAGTCTCTTCAACAATGGAATGAGGACAACTGGATATCTACATGCAAAAGAATGTAGCTGGACCACCTACTTCATGCCATATATAAAAATTATCTCAAAATGGAGCCGTGATCCAAATATAAGAACTAACATCACTAAACTTTTCCTGATTTTCTTGGATTTGGTAAAGGATTCCTAGGTATAACACCAAAAGCACAGCAATAATAGAAAAATAATTATAACATGAAGATCAATTTAAAACTTCTGTGCATCACAGGACATTATCAAGAAAATGAAAGGACAACACATAGAATTAAAAAAATACTTGAAATCATATATATGGTAAGAGAATCATCTTTAGACTATACAACAAACTCTTGTCACTCAGCATGAAAAAACTCAATTTAAAAATGGTCATGGACCTGAGAGGAAAAGAAAGTGCTCTAAAGGATATAACTGCATGTATATTTAAGTGTATAAGATAGATGACCATATTACTGAGTTTTGTTGGATCACTGAACAGAACTGTGTGCAATCTCACTGTTTGAATGTCCACTTTATATGCTTTAATTTTGTAACTTGAATAACTATTTCTAAGATGACAATATGTAATCTATTAACTAGTGATTTCCTACTGTTTATTTTTTCAGAAATTCTGTATAACTTGCACCCTTTTTGTTTTTTTTTTTTTTCTTTTTCTTCTTAAATAAAATATAAAAAAAAAATGGTCATGGACCTGAATAGATATTTCTCAAAAAAAGATATATGTGATAAACACAAACACATACAAATTTAGTACCTCATGAAAGAAATGCAAGTCAAAGAGATACAACTTTGTCCTTACTAAGACGATTATAATAAAAACAAAACACAAAAGAATAAGAATGTGGAAAATTGAAACCTATGTTCATTGCTGGTAAGAATGTTAGTGGTACACTGTTAAGAAAAATAGTATACAGTTCCTCAAAAAACCTAAACACAGAATTACTGTATGACCTAACAATTTCACTTCTAATTTTATACCCCAGCGTACTAAAAGCAGGCACTCAGAGACTCGTTCATTGCAGCATCATTCCAACACTCAAAAGGTAGAACACAAGTGTTCATCAGTGCAAGAATAGAAAAAACAAAATATATACATATGAATACTACTCAGCCACATAAGGAAATGAAATTCTGATACATAACACAGATGAACTTTGAAAACATTATGCTAAGTGAAATACACCAGTAAAAAGACACAAGAGAGAGCAATGGCCACACCAGCAAACAAGCACGGTCAGGAAACCAGTGCCAATGTGGGCCCCGCAGGACTAGGAACAGCAGACCCAAACTTCTCCTGTGAGTCAGCACCATTCATGGACTGAGGGGAGAGAGAACAATGGCTGAACCAGCAAACATGGCTGGTCTGGATCCAGTGCCATGCACAGGCTACCGCAAGACTGGCAACAGCTAGGCCCAAGCCAGTTCTGGTGCAGGCTGGCAAGCAAGAAGTAACAACCCCTCTCAACCTTCCGACCCCGAGTAAGCAACCAGCTTAATCAGAGAAACATAAGCTATGATGATAGCTATCAAGGTGAAATGCAATGGGATGCCTGTGGTGCTCTGATATTTCACAAACATTGCAGACCTAGGGCCAGTAGTCTGATCACAGGTTCAGAGGATAGCAGTAAACAGTGTGACACATAGGGGGATCTCCTTCTGAGTACTGCAGCCATTGTTGACTCCCTATGGTCTTGTTTTGAGGTCCTACATCATTTCCATTGTTTTATTGGGCTGGATTTTATTCTTTTTTGTTTTGTTTGATTATGTCAAATTTGATGGCAGGAGCACCTATTTCAAGGATAGCAAGATATATTATGGTAGCAAGTTTGGATTTACTATTGGCTTGTTCTGAAATCCTTTACTGCATTCATTGTTTTGTTTTTATTGTTTCTATTCTCTTCTATTCTGTTTGATTTTTACTACGTCCAAAGTTATCTGCAACTATTTTGAAGACATCAAAAGGCATTATAGTAACTATTGTTGATTTTGTAAAGTTTTGAAGTCCTGTATTTCTTACACTGGTTTGTTTTGATAGTTTTATTCTCTTTAAAATAAAAATTTTAAAAATCACAAGGACTCTTTGATTCTAGTATAGTCAGAAACAAAGGAATTGAGTGAGTCACTCTCTTTCACCATGGAACTAAGCAACACACCAATGTTATTCCTGTTTTCATTATTCTAAGAGAGGTAAGAAATAAAATATCAAAAGCCTAGAAGATTACCATTGCCCTAGTATGCTCTAGGTGGGAGCAAAGGCACCAGAGCATACGTGCCATGGGCAATTTAGTGGGAGGTACCTAAAGCAAAGGTGTCTACCGTTTAAATTATAAAAGCCTGAGTTATTGACCCTCTCTTTTCCTGTTGCTGTTGATAACTCTGATCCGGTGCAGTGCTTTTCTGTCGCTGTTACGGTTTGTGTCTAGATGTGTCCCAAAATCCCATGCCATCTTAGCTGGGGCTTTTTCAGAGGTGGCAGAATCTAGAGTGCGTGATGCTGGGATTAAGGATGTGTGATTATGAAATAAGTCTACTGAGTGGTTTGGCATCACCCTACTCCTGGTAGCCAGGATTGAGTATAAAAGGGGCAGAAAGACAATGTTAAGATTCCTTGTTGCTTTGCTACAGTCTGCCTACCACCTGCCTGAGAATGCTACAAAGTGTTAGGTAAATAAACCTTTGCTTCCTTAACTTTGGGGATCATGTATTTTGTCTCACTTATGAGAGAAGAATAACTAAGACAGGTGCCCTGGCACCTATATCTTTGTTGGCAAGGACTGGCTCTGAGCATAACTTCTGATGTTCAATAAACATAGCTGCTTACTACTTACTACTGGGAGTACACCTGGGAATTTCTCCTTCATCTACATGAGAACCTGGGCTATTAATGGCCTAATCAACTGTAACAATTCCCCTTATATAAAATATCTAGACTAGGCAAATTCATAGAGACAGAAAGTAGATTAGAGGTTACAAGCAGCTGGAGAAAGGAGGTAGCAAAGTTACTGTTTAATGATTACAGTGATTATGTTTTAGGTATTGAAAACATTTTGAAAGTAGTGAGGATAGATGCACAACATTGTGAGTGCAATTAATGCCACTGAAATGTTTACTTAAAAGTGGTAAATTTATGTTACATATATACTTACCATAACCTAAGAAATAACTATTATACTGTCATGGCTTGTATCTAGATGTTCCCCCAAAACCTTATATGCTCACAAGGTGATCTTTTGTGAGATGGCTGGATTATGTGATACTTTACTGGGATTGAAAATATGTGGTATCGGATTAGCCTGCTAATTGGTTTATCATAGTTCTGGGTGTGGCTGAATGGATTTGCTTAAATCAGAAGTCCCACCCTAAGTGTAGGTGTCACCAATCAATAGGTTTGTATCCTGGATGGAATATAGAGAGAATGGGAGGCTCACTGATGCTTTTTCCCTCTCCCTCTGCCATGCCTCTCTCCCATGCTTCCCTGACCTGTAGCCAGCCACTATGGACTGAAGCCTCTATGAACTGTGAGCTAAATAAACCTTTTCTCCTTCAACATGTGGATGTAGGGTATTTTGTACCAGCAATACGAAAGTAACAAAGACATATACAAAAACTGAGTCATACATTTTAAATGAGTGAATTTTATGGCCATGCAAGTTAGACCTCTATAAATTATGATTCAATTTAGTAAATACATGTCATATTCTAAATTTACCGAGGACACCAGCAGTTACTGGGCATTTATGTGCTAGACACTAAGCTGGCCACTAAGCTCAGGGTAGAGAACCCTAGAAAGACCAAAGAACAACTATAGGACAGCAAATAGGAGCATCCTTATAAAGAGAACCAATGCAGAATAGAATGGGCCTGTAGAGAAAGGGTCCTACACTGCCTTACAGGTGAGAAGACAGGCTTTGGATAAAATCTTGGAAGAAAGGAATAAGTTTATTATCATTTAAAAACTCTTATGCATAGCTTGTATTTTCAAGATTATATGGTTAAACTGGAAAGGGCAAAATAATTTTAAATCCCTTTATGTTTAAGTGGAGATTTTAAAGTGAAAAAAATAGAATAAACATTTTATTCATGATAGGAATGTTACTTGAAAGTTTTGTATGTCTTCAAAGAAATCTTTCTGACATCTCTTGATTTACCTATCAGCATAATCTTTGAAAATCCCTTATTAACCCAGTATTTATGGTTCGGTGCATGGCTTAAAAAACATGGAGACTTTTCACTGTTCTCATTAACTCAGTATCAATTTTGACTTAATTTATATTTAACTGTATTGAACTGCCCACACAGTTCAAGTCATTTTAAAAATTACTGAGATGCTTAAAGTTGCCTTTTCAACAAAAATTTCTTGTAAGACCAGCCATAAAGCAGGTGATTCCTAACCGGTGTTGACACCACATGCCCAAGATCTTTTACAGGACTTTGAAGGATCTTCCTTCAGAGTCTCAAGAAGCTCCCTGGACCAGGTATTCCCAGTGCTACTTAACTGGAAGAACAAAAGCAAGAATAACTTTTCTAAGCACCATTTCAGAATGTGTATCATAAGTGTTTAGGAGGGACTCATTCTAAACAAATAATCACTGCTGGGAGTGATGGCTCACACTAGTAATCCCAGCACCTGGGAGGCTGAGACAGGAGGATTGTTGTGTGTTTGAGACTAGTCCAGGCCAGCCTGAACTATATAACAAGACCCTGTCAAAACAAAACAAAACACAAAGAACAATCATGTTCAAGAGACAAGACACAAGTTTGAGCCCTGCCTGCAAACTTAAGAGTTAGTGAGTCTCAAAATTTAATAAATAACAAGGAGGGATTGGGACCTCACTTAGTGTAAAGACTTGGAGTTCAGTCCCTAGTAACACAAAATAGGGTAAAGGTTGGGGGCTGTAGCTCTATGCAAACTGAGTTGTATCCCTTACAGGGCAAAAATTTTAAATAAATAATAACAGCAACAACAAAACACGAGTAAGGCTCAATGAACGGCTTTTTGTAACAGGTAAAAACTGAAGACCACCAATGTATTTGCCATAAGGGAGGGACTACATTAAGCAAATCATAATCCTGGATGGATGTGGTGGTCAGTGTTGGCCAGGTTTCATGGCCAGAGGGACAAACAGGGAATCCAAAATTGCACACTTTATCATTAATAGGTAAAGAAACAAAGGCTATATATTTATAATCATTTATTAGTCCTCAGGGCCTCTATTTCTATAACAAGATATACAGCAATCCTGGTTAGCATAGATTGCGGCAATAACATCAGGAAGGAATACTTTCTTAAAAGCCTCTCCACTTAGGCTGGATACCAGTTTGAATAAAGAACTTTCTTTTGCATTTCTTTCGTAAGTTTCTGGCATGATTAAGGCCCCTAAGAGAACACTGGTAATCTGAAAAAGGACATGAAAACATTTTACAACTCCAAAGTAACATCTAACAAAAATGTTAAGCTTCTTAATTACCCTGGTTTCCCTGACCCCAAGAGTAAGTTTGTGTGCATAAAAAGGTTCTCAGCCTCAACACCCTTTGTAGCGGTGCCTGCCCTCACACTTGCAGGTGTAATGTTCTCTGTCTACTTTACAACAAATTCAATCTACACTTCTCCACAGCCGTCTACGTGGCCTGACCGAATTCTCCCACTAAGGTCACAAAAGGCCCAGGGAGCTTGGCAGGGGCCGCTCCGACGAGCGTCTGGACCCACGGCAGCCCCGGGGGAGGCGCATGTGGCGCAGCCAACAGAAAGGATGGGGACCGCGCAGCTGCACTGGGGAAGAAAGAAGCCGGGTCGCGGCGTTTTGTCCACCAGATGCTGCACAAATAAACACTACTCGCGCTTCCAGGGAAAAACCAGACTAGAAGGAAATTCACCGCAGGGGACCCCCACGTCGTCCCCGCCACAGGGTCTCAGTGTACAGCGCACGGCCCGAGGGGACGCCGCAGGGCCAGGCCGAGCAGGGCCGCCCGGTCCCCGCGGCCCCTCCCTCCTCCGCGGCGCCTCCCTCCTCCGCCTTCTCCTCCCGAGGCTCCGGGCCCAGAACTCACCCGGTGCCAGCCCTCGCCGCCCGCCGCGGGGCCTCCCCGTTCGCATAGCCGCCACTCCCGCCCAGAGCCTGGCTGCGACCAGGCGCGGGGGCGCCAGAACTGCGCGCAGGGGCTGGGGAGGGGGCGGGGCGGCCGGGCCGGTCCCCAGGCGGGCCGCGGTCTCACCTGCGCGCGGGGCTGCGGCGTGGCCGCGCCGAGCTCCTGTGGGGTCCCAGCGGGCCTACTGGCCGCGGCCTAGCTCGCGTCCCCGAGAACGGCGCCGAGGGCTTGAAGGCTGGACGCTCTGCAGGCGCGAGTAGCAGCGCGCCGACTGTTTGTCACGCCTCGGCTCCCCCGGGCGCTCGGCGCAGGCCGCCTCCCCAGGCGGAGACCCAGCCCCGCCGCGGCCGCCCGCGGAGGCTTCGCGCTCTGTAGGGAGCTCCTGTGGGGTCCCAGCGGGCCTACTGCGCCCCGGCCTCGCTCAGACGCCCCCCACCCCCCCATCCCCAGCACCAAATGCAGCCACCGAGCCGGCGAGTGCGGAGAGGACGCTGGCATTAACCCGATGGGCACAGGCAGACCCGTGGGACCCTGAAGCCACAGGAAGGTTCGCTCTTCCTAGGACGGCTTTAGGGAGTCCTGTTACTTTTTTTTAGGATCGTCATGCCCATTGTCCCACACTCTGTGGAGTTTGGGGGGACGGTTCAAGGTATATGATACGTTGATCAAATCTCTTCTCCCTATTATCTGCCCTTACACTCTTATTCTCTTTTGTATGTGTGTCTAATAATCTCTCTACTACATTCTTTTTATCTGTTTTTATGCCACATATTAGGGAGCCCAAGCGGTGTTTGTCTTTCTGAGTCAGGATTATTTCACTAAACATGGTGATCTCCAGATGCATACATTTTTTCCGGCCAGTGGCAGTTTCATTCTTCATGGCTGAGTAATGCTCCGTTAACTATATATGGTACATTTTTTGTATCCATTCTTCTGTCAGTGGGCACCAAGGCTGGTTGCGTATCTTGGCTATTATAAATTGTACCACGATAAACATGGGAAGGCAAGTATCCCTATAGAATGTTCACTTTAATTCCTTCAGATATAAACCAAGAAGTGGTACAGCTGGATCAAACAGTGGCTCTATTTTTAGTGTTTTGAGGACCTTCCATACCAGTACTGTAGGAAGGGTTAGTTCCTTTTTCCTTACATCTTTGTCACCATTTACTTTTTTAAAAGAAATTCTTGAGGATAACTCTTCTGACTAAAGGAAGATAAAATCTCAACCTAGTTTTGATTTGTATTTCCTTAATGGCTAACAATGTTGAACATTGTTTTCCAATATTTATTGACCATTTGTACTAAAGTGTGAAGCTGAGCAAGGTGATGTACAACGATAATCCCAGCACTTTGAAAAGCTGAAGCAGCAGGATTGCAAGTTCAAACCCAGCCTGGGGAACTTAGTAAGACCCTGACTCAAAATAGAAAATAATTTTAAGGAAGGGATTGGGATGTAACTGAGTATGAAGGCCCTAAGGTTGCTCCCCAATATTGGTGGGATAAAATTATTTCTTCAGTTCATTTGCCCATTTATTGATTGGGTCGTTTTTCTTTTGCTGTTAGTTTTTTTGCATTCTTTATAGTCTCAGTGTTAACCTGTTTGGAGTGGCTGGCAAAAATATTCTATTTTGTACAATGTCTCTTTACTGATAGTTGTTTCCTTTGATTTAAAGTTTTATAATGCCATTTGTTGGTTCTTATTATTTCTAGTGTTATCAGTGACTATTCAGGAAGTCTCTGTGCCTACCGCTTCAAGTGTTTTACCTGTTTTAGAAGTTTCAGAATTTCAGGTGTTATACTTAGGTCTTTGATCCATTTTGGATCCAATTTTGCACAACATGAGAGGGATCTAGTTTCAGTCTTCTATAAGTGGACATCCGATTTCCACAGCCTTATTTGTTAAAGAGTTTGTTCCTTCTCCAATACAGTATGTGTTTTTGGCTTCTTTGTTAAGAATCAAATGGCTATAGTTCCATGGGTTTATTCCTGTGTCCTCTATTCTGATCCACTGGTCTATGTGTCTCTTGTGTTGTGCCAGCACCATGCTGTTTTTGTTACTATGGCTCTGTAGTATAATTTGAAATTGGGTATTGTGATGCCTCCAGGATTGCTGTTTTTATATACAATTGCTTTGGTTATTCTGAGTCTTTTGTGTTTCTGGATGAATTTTAGAATTGCCTTTTCTAGTTCTGTGAAGAATATCATTGGTATTTTGATGAGAATTATATTGAATCTGTGGGTAAGTTGTGGTAATCTGGCCATTGTAGCAATTATGTCAATCTTTCTATACTCTAATGTCTTCATTTCGTCAGTGTTTATCTGAGAAGATTGGTGAGTGGTCCTTGAAGAGTATGCTGAAGCCTAACCTCTAACACAAGTATTAATACGTGGGGCCTTTATTAAAAAAAGGTTGGAGGGAGTGAATGTGATATGACTAAGCCTGGTTTGCCTGCAGTAGTATGCCAATCACTAAGACAAGGAGTTTTGCAAAAGAGAAAGAGTTTATTCACAAAGCCACCATTTCTGAATCCTGGAGATCAAGTTTGAAGTCTGCCTGCCTGAGGATGGAATTGGGGATATTTATGGCTTGAGGCATGTGGAAAGGTGCTATAAGTTAGGCTACATAAGGATATATAGGATATATAGGCTTGTGCATGTGTGATCAAACTTCAACAATTATTATCATGACCCATGTTTCAGAGGTGTTATAGTCCCAAAAGAGGTAATTTTTAAGGCAAAAGACCAGGAACAGGTGAAGGGGATTAGATCTAGACAAGCAAATAACTAAAAGCAGGTAAAGCAGATTAGAGAATTTATTCAGGTTGTTTCTTGGTTTCAGATGCAGCTGTAAGGCACCATCTTTGAAACAGAAAAAACAAGCCCTCCACTGACTCTAAATCTGCTAGTACCTTGACTTTCCCTGGCAGAAATGTAAGCAATAAACTGTTGTTTACCAGAGTCGAAGGTATTTGTTTTACCAGCCTTAACAGACTGAAATAGGGTATAGGGACATCCAAACCCCATTGCATAATTTCTTTCTGCAGTTTGCTAATGGAAAAGCTGTTTCATCTTTGAGTTGGTAGAGTGGAGGCAGTTTTCTAGGTGCTAAGCAAGTACAGTCTGTGAAAGAAGGCAGAGAGAAAAGATAACAGGGAACAACCTGTATGATCAAGCTAAGGGGTTTTCAAAGTTGTGACCAAATTATTAAATTATGTTACAGTGATTCTGCTTAGTGAACACTAATTTGTTTGCTAGCATGCATTGAAAACTCCCTGAAGATAAAGACTTAATATTTGCATTTTCTTAGTTATTTGCTTTTTTTTTCTAGAACAAAAGCTTGCAATAAATTACTGTTGAAAGAATGAAGGTGGGAAGGGGGTGTTTAAAAAGGCTAAGATCTGGAGGCAGGTCTGTGAGGTTTAAAAAGTTCATGTCAACGAAGTCTTACTATTTGGACAACTCTCAGAGGCCACTACAGCTTGTATCTGACTGTTCCGCTAGCCTCATGCACTTATAGGTGGATTGACTGAAGGGGATGCTATAGCTAAATGTGATATTAGGAAGAGGGGCCTAGGAAGCTGGGTCATTGGGGTATGGCCTGGCAAACTGTATCTGCTGCCTGTTTGCCATGACATGAGCATCATTTCCTCTGCTATACCCTTCTGCCATATCCTGCCTTGAAACCAGCCAACTATGGACTAAGAACACGAAAGAAAATAAACCTTTAAATGTAAGTGTCAGGTGTTATGGCCCAATGAAAAGAAAGTACCTGAGAGGCTTCATGGGTCCCAGAGTACTGTCTGGCCCACTCCTGTGGTACACCTATGTCTGCAACCAGATTAGGGAAGGTGGTTCATGATTCCTCAGCTGGCTAGTTCTGTGCTGCTATTTCTCCTCTGGGCATAGTTTCTGGAATAACTGGAATTGAGGAATGAGTTTGGACTGAACTTTCTACCTATTTGTTCTGTAGGCTCAGGACATCTGTGGTAGGAACACTCATGTTACCTGACAGAACTGTGTAGAAAGAAATCATGTCTGATCAAAACACTGTGAAAGGTACTGAATTTAAGTATGAAACATGCTCCTTCAAGTCAAACTTAATTTTGTTCTTTCTCTTGAATTATTTCCACTTTTTCCCCCCAGGAAGTATCTAAATGTTGTTCAGCTTCATAAACTGCCTCTCACAAATCTGTCCATAAACACCACTGATTTAAGAAACCAGCTAAATAGCCATCATAGTAGTCTATGTTTTCATGGGACCTCCATTAGAAAAGGTAATTATTAATGGTTGAGCAATGTTTTCAAACTTTATTTTTTTGAGTAGCAAATGGAGACAAAAGTAAAATGAACAAAATACAGGTATTGGATGCCTAGAGATTTAAAATTTCCTCTCTTTCCAGTATTGGTCTAGCATAACTATTAGACTATTGGCTATGTGGTCCTGTAGAAGCCAATTCCAATATCTCTCTCTTTCCCTTATGGAATGCAGCCTTAAGCCACCTGTGCATTTGCCAGGCAGTTACTGACCAAACAGGGTATGCCCATGTGGCTGACCTCACTCAGAAAATCTGAGGAATTTCTTTTTCATGGAAAATAAAAGGATATCCTGGTTGTTCATTGAATAAAGCTGAAAAATTCACTCTAGTGTAAATTTGAAGCTTATCATGTTTATAGTAGAACAGAGAGACTAATAGCAAAGGGTCCTTGGTAACTTGTTGAACCACTGAAGTAAGCAATCCCAAAGTCTACCTGCCCCTAGGCTTTCCTTTATTATGAGATCATCAGTTTCTTTATTGTTTAAAAAGACAATTTGATTAGGTTTTCTTTTACTTGACTCTGATACAATTCTAACCTAAAGATGTTTGATCTCCTGGACTCGATGTGCGAAGACAAGTGGAAGAACCAAAATGACACCCAGGGTTGGAGGCAGATTTATTTATTCTGAGGGGCATTGATCAGGATCATTTCCTAAATATCAGCCAGGCCTGATCTCTGGTGGTCTAGGACTTATATGGGATAAACAAGCAGGAAGTGCAGAAGCAAAATGGCATGTCAACTGGGGACTGGTTTATACAATGTGCATCACAGTGACCAGCCATTTCTAAGAGACAGATGCAACTGAACAGACACTATTACCTTGGAAATTAAGAAAATGAAGTATACTGGCTGGCAGTGGTGGTGCCATTTTTTTTTTTTTTTTACAAACGATGGTAGCCAACTCAGAAGAGTAAGCAAGTCATCCTATTGTCCTGCAAAAGTGAAGCAGAGATTGTACTTTGAAAGTTACATATAAGTGTCCAGTATGAAGGCTTGTGTTTAGATGTCCCCCTAAAGTCTCGTGTGGTTATAAGTGGAGCTTTTAAGAGGTAATTGGATTTAGGATGTGTGATGCTGAGATTAAGTGATGCTGAGATGTGTGATGCAGGATTACTAAATTTGGCCACTGATTAATTTGATGCAGTTTTGGGTGTGGGTAGCATCACTCAAAGGACAGGTAACCTGGATGGATATAGAGGGATGGAAAGAAGGCAGCCAGCTGCTGGTTCTTTGTTACTTCACTTTCCTACCTTCTTCCCACCATGAACTATTTCTCCTGTGTGATTCCCCTATGCCATGCCACCCTCCCCTGGAGCCAGCCAACTATGAACTGAAATCTGTAAAAATTGTGAGCTACTATAAACATTTTCTGTTTAACTTTGAATGTTGGGTATTTTGTCTCAGCAATAAGTGAGAAAAGTAACTAAGACAGCTAGCTATTAGGGCAGACATGGTGGCACATGCCTTTAATCCTAGCTCTCAGGAGGCTGAGGCAGGAGGATTGCTAGAGTCTGAGACCAGTCTCCAAAGTGAGACCTTGTCTCAAAAAAAACAAAAACAAAAAACAAAAACAAAAACCAGTTTGCCAGCCACTATTAATGTGAATATCCTATGGGAAGGGAAAGGCCCAGGAGTAGCTCTGGGGCTGAGACTGAAATCAAACTTTATGGTGGCCTCATCTACCTGGAAGAAAGCTGAGTTCGCGCTTGAAAGTACAAAGGCCTCAGAGCCGTCTCCTAGTTAGAGACACCTTAGCCCAGGCCCTCTGTAGTAGATCCCTTGTTGGTCAGCGTAGAACTGGCATTTGTCACAGACCTGCATCATTTGACCAACCATTACAGAGACGTTGTCAATAGCAACACCATGTGACTATGAGATACAATGACTATGGTGGATCCCTAGGCTTTCAGGCCTTCCCACCAGGTGTGGAAGGTGGAGTTTGCCTTTAAACATTTTTGATCAGCTGAGCCCTTTTAAGTTTTTGGAAATGATGGACAAGACCCTAATTTCATATTGTGAGTTTATTAACCAGAAATATAAGGTTGAGCTTATTTTCTTGCAGGTGGCTAAGTTTGATAGAAATTAATGTACAGTCAGAGAGGGCGTGGGGCCGCAAGAAAGTCAATGCAAAAATGTAAAGTCAGAATTGTGGCGGGAGGAAAATCTGAAAAGAGCCAGGCCTCAGGATGGATAAGCACTAATTGGGCCTGCAAGATAAACAGCAATGTGAGATTAAACTGTAATTAGCACCACTTGGCCCAGTGAGCCCTGACAGGCATCGAGTGCCTAAGTGGGCGACCTGAACATCCAGTCCCTTACTCCCCACTTCCCAAAAATAGCTTTATTTTTTCCCTGTATCCTTGCTACATGACTCATTTCCCTACTGGATCAATATCAGTTTTGCTGCTATACAGTACTCATAATACATTGTGACTTTGCTATGTAAATTACCTCTGACAAAGGACCTCAAGGTTCACCCTATTCAAGACCCTTCCTGGAAATCCAGGAACTATTCTTAATCCCCTCATTTCCAGTAAAACTCTTAATTTTTTCTTTTGGTTTGCAGCTTCATCCCTTTCTGTTGTGAAACCACAAACTTAGTACACTTGACATCTAACAGTTTGGGAGTTACGTTTTTCTTATATAAGTTTTTTTGTTTGTGAAAAAAAGGGGTATTTCTATAATGTGGAACATACTTGTACATATGTTTTGTAAACATATATTAGGGTGAAAGAAAAGGAAGCTTGAAGATATTTAAAGCAAAAATATTTCCATCACATATGTCTTGGAATATGTCACTGGTTTGTTACCACCTTCTGGATAATGTCCCACCACCATATCCCGTGTCCCACAGCCTTTCTTTGCTTCTCTAATGATGCAGCACACTCAGATCCCCCAGGAAGCCTTCAGTAAGTTCTATTACATTTGTAAATGTTTTGGGAACTAGTTTTGTAGTTTTCTGGAGGGCAGACATGCACTATACCAAAGAGGACCATAAAGTGTTCTCTACCTTTCCTCTCTGTATTGCTGGGGAACTCTTTACTTTTCAGAAATTCTTAAGGAGCCCTTTCTACCTTTCCCTTTCTCTTTGGCTGCGTAATGAAGTCATCCGAACAGCCTTACATATTCTGGCACCTGGGATTCTACCTGAGAGATTTTGATTTAATGGGCTTAAGTACTGAGTTTTCAAAACTTCCAAAGTGACTCGAATGTGCTTCGAGGATTGAGCCACACCGGCCCAGGAGGCTCCTGCCACAACTTTATGTACAGTAATCCTTTCCCTTCCGCGGCTCGCACATCCTCTCTGATCAGGCTTATCACGATCTTCAACGTATACCATCTCAACTTCTGTGCAGCAGTTAAGCATTTCTGCATTGCTGCAGGCTAATGTAGGACCTTGCCATTCGTAAACGTTTGAAAAAAATGCTGCACGAGAGGGTGAAACGTTATCAACAATTACTGGGGGTCGTCCAACGCCAGCCACTACAGTGACCAGCCTTGGCTGGAACAGGAGACCGTGCTGACTGGCCCCTAGGAAGAGTTCACAGTTAAGGTGGGGAGGAGACACGCCGAAAGTTCGCATCAAGATGATAGTTTGGAGTGACCAGGAAATTCAGGCTTCGCTTTCACCTGCAGTCGCAAAAACGTATATCTGACAACTTCCGGAAAAACAAGGTTCCAAGTGGGTGTTCAAGGGCTTACCTGGCTGGAGCTCGCTGGGCGTGCGATGGGCGTACCAGCGTGCCTACGACAGCACGGCCGGCTACGTCTACGTCACGATAAGCTCCGCCCCCAGCAGCAGAGCCAACCGGAGGATACGGGCAGTCCCAGCCTACTCTGGTTTCCAGAGAGAGTCGCTCCGAGTAGCTCTAGCTCTGGCTGAGTGGGGGCGTGCCTTCGACGTGCTTGGCTCGATTGGCTGGCCTTCCTCACGGTAACGGTCGTGCAGGCGGGGATCCAACAGTTGAGCCGAGCGGGGTTGGGCCGGCTGCTCGTGGAAGATGAGCGGCTTAGGAAGGTGAGTGGTGCTTGAGGTCTCTAAAGGTGTCAGCGTTCCCATCCTAGAAGATCCCTAGACTTGGCCTTAACCGGGATCTTAGTGAGGAGCACCTGGGACAGAACGGCGCTAATTAAAAATGCGTGTGTAAAGGTCTGGCGCTTGGACAAACTTGGTTTCCCGCCTTGCTCCTCTCAGCCTTTGTACCCTCCGGCTTCGTAAAGCCTCGCGCCTCAGTTTCTTGATCGAGATAATAAATATGGTAAGGGTTGTCTGAGGTGATTGTGAAGGTTAAATTAGGCAATGATGAGACCTAGAGTTACCTGGCACGGACTTCGCTTTAGGGAGGTTCTGGGAACTGGAATTACCGCCTTCGCAAAAGTCGGTTGCGCCTGGTCCGCCCGCCCAGGTGTCGGTGGCGGGCGTCTGAGCCTTGAAGCAAAAGCGGTAGATCACGGTCGCAGGTGGCTGGGTGTCCTTTTACTATGCTCTGTTAGGCTCATTCCTGGGAAATTCTGACACTTATGTGGCGTCTGGCTTGATACTTTAATGTGAAAAAGGTCAGAGGTTTAAGAGACACCTAACAAACCAAACACAAGGGTCTTGATTGCCTGTGCATTTCATTTACGTCAGTACTGAGGATTGAACCTGGGGCCTTCGCACTGTGCTGCATTTCGCGAGGTCTCCCGCTTACCGCCTTTTCCTGAGGAAACAGGGTTTAGAAAGTTGTTAAACTGCCCAGGCTGGGCTGGAACTTGCTGTCCAGCCTCCCAGAATGCTGTGACTACAGGTGTGCAGTCGTTTTATTTATTTACTTATTTTGATACTGGAAATTGAACTCAGGGCCTCGCGCTTGCTAGGCAGGCGCTATGCCGGTGAGCTATATCACCAACCCTGGTCATTTTATTTTTAGTCATGAAAATATTTAACATTCAGACATCACTCACTAGTTATAATCCTCTGCACGAGATTCCTCTTTTCTTCTCTCTCTCAACATTGCTGAATAGACCACTGAACACGGCAGAGGTATCTGACTGGCCTGAAGTTTTACTGACAGTTTTTGCTTCAAAACAGCAGAAGCCTATTCTGGCCCTTTGGGTAACTTATCCTGGGACAGAATGTTAGTTGAGATGATAGCCAGTCCTAACTCTCTTTCGTAATGTATAGGAACATTAAAAAGCAAATTTGAATATTTTGAAAAGAGTTCTTACATAAATAGAAAACAGACATGATAGCGTTAACAATGTCCATTTATTGCATTGATTTGAAAGATACACTTTGAAGATTTGAAGATCTTTGTTAATTTTGGTGTGATTCGTTTGAAAAAGAACAGATGTCAGTCATGTTTTTTTTTTTTTCCAGATTTCTTCTCCAAAAAATGGTGAAACTAATGTATTCATGTTACAGAGGCTTCAGACTTTTAAAGAGCAATTTAAAGAAAGGTTCTTGGAAAACATAGTGCTAGAATATAGTGTGGGGGGGTTGTTTTCTTTCTTTCTCTCTCTCTTTTTTTTTTTTTTTTGCTTTTTGCACTTGGCTTTATATACCATACCAGTGATGGCAAACCTGTGACGTGTGCCACAGTGGGCTGTTTGTATTATTGAAAGCTCTAAAAGGTTCACCGTTACTGCCATATACTCCTCCATTTTCTACTCCTGTAGTCCTTGTTTTGTTTTTTGAGACAGAGTCTCACTAAGTAGTCCAGGCTGGCCTTGAACTCATGGCAATACTCCTACCTCAGCCTCCTGAGCTCTGGAGGTAATAGGTATGAACCACCACTCCCAGCATCTTGTAGTCTTACTTTGTGTCTGTTAATGACACTTCTTAGAGCTACAGCTTCTGCCTTGCCTCGGGGTGCATTCGGTCTCTTCCTGTGATATATTAAAGTTATAAATCTATGTCCTATAACGGCTTGAAGTCAGGAAAAAGCTGCTGCAAATTACTGATACATTCATTTCACAGAGTAGACCTCAAATGGAGGAGGAGGGCTTGATCACAAGTGTAAACTAATGGTTTTCTTTCTGCCTGTCTTAGTTACTTTTCTCATTGCTGAGACAAAATACCTGACACCAAAGTTAAAGGAGAAAAGATTTATTTAGCTCACAGTTGTAGAGGTTTCATCCCATTATCAGCTGGCTCTAAGGTAGGATGGCACATGGCAGAGAGACAACAGACAACAAAAGTAAGCAAGCATGGGCAGACAGGCCTCTTTCTGTTCCTTATATTGTACACAGTCTACTGGGATTAGAGTGGTACCAATCCAGTCAGTGAACTATTATAGCAATCTTAATCTCACCCTTAATCTCAGCATTGCATTATGAATTAGTCATACTCTACATTCAGCCATTTCCAGAAAAACCCTCTGACCACATGAGGCTCTGGGGGGACATCTACACACAAACTATTACGCTGCCTGTGCTTTATAGTCAATCACATTTTGTAACTGTGAGTGCTTCGTTTTAGTGCTCTTGTGAGGATAACTTACCTTTGAAGCTAGTAATCCACAATGATGACAGACTTGGATACCCAGAAAATGTTTCAACAAAACAGAGAGGAAAGCTAAAAAGGGGAAAGAAGTTAGGAAACGTATGATGTGGTAGGGAGCTGTGGAGGCCATTAACAGTTATTGCAGATGTTCGGGTTTTGGTTTAGTGGCTATCAGAACCACAGATACCTGCTCTGAGACTTTACACAAGGCCATTCTTACTAACATTGACTCTCACAATTTTGGTCTGTATCTTTTTTAAACCTAGATGAAGATCCAGTTTCAGACTCACTGGGTGATCATTTCATTGAGATATCTTGAATGACCAGGTGTGAAGTGCAAGAGGAATGTGCAATGACTGAGGTATGACTCATGGGACAGATGACTCTATAGATGTTGGAGGGTCATGGAAAAAAATTATTTACTGAATTTTATGCTAGATATATTACATGTATTTTTTTTTTCACTTCCTGATAATCTTTTCAGGTAAATACAGTAAGGAAATTGAGTAAGGAAACTGAAGTTTAGAAGGATCAAGTAACTGCTTAAGACAATACAGGTGATCACCAACAACAACTCTTACCACCAACTCTTTATTACCAACTCTTACCACCAAATTTGTTGTATGCCAGATACTGTTCCGTGTTCTTTCTATATGAATTCTTATCTTCACTATCTTGTGAGCTATTGTCCTCATTTTTTTCATGAGGAAATTAAAGTGTTAGAAAATTAATGCTTTCTTGGCTTGTGTGTGTATATACAGAGTTATACCAGATTTCTTTTGGTTAGTATTTTATTTAGGCAAAATATTTTTATTGTAAAATGCATTTTTATGATGAAATAAAAAACCCCTCATATACACAATGTATACCTTTATGAATTATTTTAAGATATACAGACAGTATGCTAGAACTCTTCCACTGCCCTGGTCTAAAAATAGCTCCTGTACTCCTGTTAGTTGCCACTCTTCTGGCGTCTTAGTTACTTTTTCATTGTTAGGACAGAATACCTGAAACCCACAACTTAAAGGGAGAGATATATTTTGGCTCACAGGTTCTGAAGTTTTGGCCTACGTTCCTTCAGCTGTAACAAAGCAGAAATTACATGGTGGAATGGGCTGAGCAGAAGAAAGCTGCTTACCATAGGGGCCACGGAACAGAGGAAAGGGAGAAACCCAGGTCCCTAGTAACCTGCCTCTTCTGATAGGCCCCAACTTCTAAGAGTGAGTTAGCTATATCATTCCCATAATCCAGTCTCTCTACAAGTGCTACCTCAGAACACACCAGGCTTCTGGGGAACATTTTTAATCTAAACCAGAATACCTGATTTTTATGGTAATTATTTTCCCTCCTTTTAAGTGTATAGTTTTGTGCCTGTCATTTGGATATCTAGAAGTACAGTTTATATAGGAAAGGCAAAATAATGGTTCTCTCCATTTGTTTAACTAATTTTCATAATAATGAATTGGTTCCTTATTTTCTGAAGGCAATTGTTATGTCTCACGTTTAGATGCTCCCCCAAAGCCTCATGTGGCCATAGTTGGGACTTTTACAGAGGTGGCTGGGTCTAGAGTGTGTAATGCTAGAATTAAAGGTGCTAAGATTAAGGGTGGGAGTGCTATTTGCTCTAAGGGCAAATAGCCTGGGTATAGTGTAAGGGACAGAAAGAGGCTTGCTATTAGTTACTTGTGGTTTGTCTCTTGCTTTGCTGTCTTCTGTTTGCCATGAACTGTTTTCTTCTCTGATGGTCCTCTGCATACCAGCTTGCCTTGGAGCCACTGAACTAAACTAAAACCTCTACAAACTGCAAGCAAAATTAAACTTTTCCTCCTTTAACTTTGGGTATTGGGTATTTTGTCTCAGCAAGAAGAGTAAACAATTTGTAAAAAAAAATTTAATATCACTTAAAACTCAGATATAGTATTAAATGTTGAATGTCTGTTCATTGTAATTATTATTGGTAAACTTTATATTGTCTCATCTTTGGCTAGTGGAGACCTAGTCAATATGCTTTTGTGATAGGACCCTAAGAGTTTTTTAAAGCAACTTTGTTATCAGTCTCTGTCCCAGATCCGAAATCAGTTAATCCCTTTTTTTTTTTTTTTTTTGCTTTGCTTTCTGTTTTTGTGATTGGTGGTGGTGGTGGTAGTGATGGTGGTGGTGATGATGGTGGTAGTGGTGTTTTTCTTTTTTCGTTTTTTTTTTTTTTTTTTCCTAGCTGAAAAAAGGAATTTTCTTTGCAGTACTGGGGATGGAACCCAGGGCCTTGTGCATGCAAAGCATGTGCACTGTCACCGAGGTACATCCTTAGCCAGCCCCTCCTTTCTAAAGTTTTTAAAATTTTAAGGTAGACTGTTTACTAAATTGCCCAACCTGGCCTCAGACTTAGTGATCCTCTTGCTACCACCTCCTGAATTCATCCCATTTGTGGGATGAATATGAAGTTGTGGTATAAATGTCAGTTCTGCCCCCTTCTAGTTAGCTCTGTTTAGTGTATTGGGAATGTAATGTGTAGTTTTGAGGAAGAAAAAATAAATTACTAGTTTTACAATTAATAATAAATATTGTTTACATGGTGCTGCATACCTATAATCCCAGCACTCAGGCTGAGGCATTCTTTTTTGTGTCCCCTTCCCCTCCCATCCTTCCATTCCCTTTCCAACTGGTTGTCCTTCTCATTTGCAAATTCTCTATATCCATTTTTACCTTCAATTTTCTTTTTTAATCCCCATTTCCCTTCCTTCTTACTCCTCTCCCTCCATATATTCTCCTTCCTGTTTGAAAAACACCTCTGTACTGCCTATTTTATTTTGCTATTTATTTATATTTTGGATTTCTCATATAAGGGAAGCCATGCAATATTTAAACTTCTGTGCCTGACATACTTCATTTAATATGATCTCAAGCTGCATCCATTTATCTACAAATGCCTCATATTTATCCTTATGACAGAGTAGTGCTCCATTGTATATAAATATCACATTTTCTTTATCCAGTCATTGCTGATGGTCATACATAGGCTCTTTCCAAGATTTAGTTATTGTAAATTGTGCTGCTGTAAACATAGGTATGCATGTATTACTGCACTATGAAAACTTTTAATTCTTTCAGAAGGATACACAGAAGGAGAATAGCTGGGTTGAATAGAATTTCTATTTTTTGTGAGGAATTTCCATACTGATCTCTATAGTGGCTACACTAATTTACATTCCCACTAACAATATAGAAAAGTTCCTTTTTTCTCAAAACCTTGCCAGTGTTAATTATTTGATTTCTTGATGATAGCAATTCTTTTTGGAATAAGATAGTATGTCAGTGTTGTTTTTAATTTATATTTCTTTAATGGCCAGTGATGTTGGTCATTTTTTTCAGGTATCTATTGGCCATCTGTACTTCTTTTGAAATTGAAAGGGAAGGAGTACTCACAAAGTCATTCCTGATTTGTGTATATTGAACCATCCTGGGATCCCTGGGATAAAGCTTATGTGGTCATGGCTTATGATCTTTTTGATTTGTTGCATTCTGTGCCAGTATCTTGCTGAGGATTTTTGAGTCTGTGTTTGTTAGAGACTGGTCTAGAGTTTTCTTTTTTGGTTGAATACTTGTCTGAGTTTGGAGTCAGGGTAATCGTAGCTTTTAGGAATGACTTTGTGAGTACTCCTTCCCTTTCAATTTTATTAGAGTATGAAAGTGTTGGTTTTAGATCTTCACCGACATTCTTCTACAGTTTGACAACTAATAATCCCTCAGGTCCTGGGCTTAATTAAGGTCAATTTTTTTTATTACTGCTCCAATTTCATTGCCTGTTACTGAATTATTCAGGATTTTTCAGTCATCTTGGTTCAGTTTTGCTAATTTACAAGTCCCTAGGACTCTATTTCTTCCAAGTCCTCTAATTTATTGGTGTACAGGTTTGTGAAGTAGTTGGTAATATTCAGGATTTTGGTATTGCCTGTTGTGATTTTACTTTTTTCATTTCTAATTGCATTGATTTGTGTCTTTCCTTTTATTGATAAGATTGGCTAAGATTGTTTATTCTTTCAGTGAACCAGCTGTTTAATTCATTTTTTGTACTTTTTTTAGCCTCCATTTCATTGATTTCTGTGCTGATCTTTATAATTTCCATCCCTATATTAGCTCTGGTTAGGATTGTTCTTGTTTCTGTAGGACTTGAGGTACATCATTAGGTTATTTATTTGTGCTCATTTTCTTTTTCCTGATGTTGGCATTTACAGATATAAAGTCCCTTCTAAGGGCTGCTTTCCTAATGTCCCATGAGTTCTTATACATTGTATTGGCATTGCCATTTAATTCTAGGAACTAATTTATGTCTTTCTTAATTTCTTCTGTAATCTATAGATTGTTCGAGAATGTGTTGTTTAATCTCCATGCATTTGTGTAGTTTCTGTGATTTCTTTTGCCATTGATCTCTAGTTTCATTGCACTATGATTTGATAATATGCATGGCAGAATTTCAAATTTTTTTGCATGCTTTATTTGCTAATATGTGGTATTGTTTGGAGACAATTCCACTGCTGCCAAGAAAAATGAGTATTTTGTTGTTTTGGGCTTCAGTTGTTTTGAAAGTTTGGTTCAACTCTCATATTTCTTTGTTGATTTGTTTTGTTTTGTTGATCTATTTGTGATAGTAGGATATTCCAGTTTCTCACTATAATTGCACTGATATTTTGGGGCACTGTTTGGTGCATATATATTTATAGTTGTTATCTTTTCCTGATAAATGTTTTTCTTAACAAATATATAGTAAGCTTTTTTTTGCCTCTTATCAGTTTTAGCTTAAACTCCAGTTTGTCTGAAAATAGTAGTTATTTTTGCTTGTTTTCAGATTCCCATTTCAATTGTTTTCCAACCTCTGACTTTCCATCTGTGAATTTCTTTGAGGATTAAATGTATTTCTTGTATATAGTATATTTTTAGATTTTGTTTCTTGATCTGTTCTGCCAATCTTTGTCTTTTTATTGGCAAACTGAGACCATTCAGGTTGACGGTTGTACCTGATACGATACTAACTTATTCCTGTCATTGTATTATTTTTCTGCTGTTTTTTCTTTTCTATTTTATTGCTCTCTCTCTATGCATTCATTCTGTTTTACCTTTTGGCAATGCTAACTTCATTGTCCCTTTCTGTGATATTCTTGAGAATCATTTGGAGGCCTCCTTTGGTGATCATGAATTTCTTTAGATGGTCTTTATTATAGAACTATTTCATACAATTTTGAAAATTTATTTAGCAGCATATGAACATCAGTTTATGTTGGAAGCTTAGTGTGGTGGATTGGCAACTGGTGGTTAACTTAACAACCAGCTAACTGAATCAGCATGGTGCTGAATGTAGAGGGCCCACCTGAGGATTGTTGCCAACCCAATAAAGGAGAACTGGAAAGGAAGAAGTAATGTTGTGGGTTCTCTTATTGCTGTTGGTTCTCCTGGAGGAGCTTGTCAAGTCTGATATGAACTTGATTATTCTGTCAGAGTGGAATATGGTGTGCCATTCAGTCTCTAGGAGAAGCTTGTCATACTGGTTTTTATCAGCTTGGCT